AAAAAAAAAAAAAAAAGGACTCCCTGGGATTTCCCATCCTCTCACCTAGTACACCCTAAGTCCCAGAATTCCTATTGCTGGAATAAACGGTCAGCCTGCATCCCCCTAGTACCATGGAGTCCACTCTAACTCATAACGAACCCTGGAGCTAACAATCCTCACCACTGTTTCGAAAGAAAAATGGGGGGTGGAGGGGTCACACCCTTACGGGTGGGGAAACTGAGGCATAGGGTATCCAGCGAACACCTGGGAGGGCAGTCGTGTCCCTGCAGAGGTGGCCACCCCTGCTAAGGTTCTGTTCCTCCCGGTACCAGCACGATCAGACTCACTCACCCGTTGTCTCCTCCAAAAACATAGATGGCATCTTTATAAGCTACCACGGTGTGCTTGCTGCGCCTGGAGAGAAGGGAGTGGGGGCGGCCAGAAGAGAAGACTAAACCAAACAGCCACAAAAATGAGAGACCCAAGACACTAAGTTCTCCCAGTACCCCCTGACTCCGCCCACAAGAGCACCCGGAGCCTTGGTCTGAGCCCCTCAAATATCATTTCGCCCTAGGACCCCAGCCCAGGTCACCCTGCTCTGGGACCCCTGGACCCCTTACCCTCCTCTCCCCCTTGATCAGCTTCCACCCCAGGAACTAAGCCCCAGCCTCGCCCCTGAATCCCGCAATAGGACCCCGAACCCAAGCGTACCTAGCGCCCACGAACTCATCGCAGGGCGGGAGGCGGCGCCAACGATGCACAGTCTCGAAGGGCCCAAAATTAAGCGTCAGGTACTCAACGCTGTCCGAACAACTGTGATCAAAGTCTACGTTTGGGGCCACTTTGGACCGCACGCCGCCTACCAGGGCTCCGGCCCCAATCGGGCCCCCTGAGCCGCCTGGCCCGGCCATCTCTGCACAACCGCTGGGGTCTGGGACGCGCGGCCACCGCCCCAAGTTGCCCAAGACTACATTTCCCGGCGACCCTTGTGCCGGTGGCGCGACACTTCCGGGTTCGCC